GATTTTAACATTACAAAAACAAAATATCTCAAATATGAACTTTGTACTAAATGTAAAATGGCAACTTTGATCTATGGAAAAATTGGCAAAATCCTGAAATAATTAATCTTTAAACACCATATAAGTTTAGCTGTTCTTCTGTCACTCTAAAAAAAAGAAGCTGCATTTACACTACAAATGTGTTGATATGACTTTTATTATGAAAACATTTAAGAGGTTAATGTTTAAAAAAACCTCAAATATAAACTTAAAATCAAGAAGTTGCCATTTTAACTTTTATTACAGATTTGCCAAATAAATGTGCTCAGATTTTTATTTTGTTATAAAAAAACAACATGTTAACACATTACAAGTAAAAAATGAGACCTGATATTTGAGCTCTTTACAAACGACATGAGCAGACCTGTCCTCTAGTCTTTCCAAACAAAGCTGCATTTGTTAAAATATGCTCAATGGACTTTTATTCTGAAATCACATAAGATGTTAATATATTACAAAAAGTGAAATCTCAAATATGAACTTGACACAAGGTTGCTATTTTAACTTTAATTACAGATGCATTTACTTGTCAAAATGTGCTCACATGACTTTTATTATGAAAACACATAAGATGTTAACAAATATGACCAAAATCCTGAAATATGGGACCTTTATACACCATATAAGTTATCCTGTCTTCCAGAACAAAGCTGCATTTATGATATAAATGTGCTTGGAGGACTCTTATTCTGAAAACACAAGACAGTAACGTATAGTACAAAGCAAAAGACAAAGGAAATTCTGAAGTGTGAGGGCAGTTAACTCAGAGTGGTTGAGAATAGAGAGGCATGTGATGCAGTAAAGGTTAAGTGTGTGTGTGTGTGTGTGTGACTGAAAGAAGACCTCTGCACTGAAACACCGTGGGCTGTCAGGATGTGACAACAACACTTGATATTTCACGTCTGAAATCCCCTGCATAACATTACTTTAAATACACAGAAATTACCTGCTGCTAAACATTCTGGTAAGAGACTTTAAGGGTCTTTTCTGACCTCTGACCTTCACCATTACACACTGACCTGCTGCTCATTTGTGGCAGTGTATCAGCACTGATGGAAGGTGCGTTGACTCGAGGCCGCATGCCGAGTGCCTTAGGCCCCGTTTTTACACTGTCAGGTCTTGATGCCCAATTCTGATTTGTTGCCTATATCTGATTTGTTTGCCTGTCTGCTTACATGTTGACTGGCGACACCTGATTAATAAAGGGACTAAGCCGACAAGAAAATGAATGAATGAACAACATATTATGCACGCATGTTAATACAGCTGTTCTGTCAGTTAAATCAGTTCACTGTTGAAATTCTAAATTTTAACCCAGCTGGTTGAGTTATTAATAAATAACCAAATAAAGGTTAAGAATAACCCAACAAAGCACCAAATATGTTTAACTCAACCATTGGGTTAAATTAATAACTCAACGTTTTTTTAGAGTGTAGACCTACATAGCACTAAAATATCTTACAAATAATAATTGTGTAATATATTTTACATTTTATTTTAACAGTTTTACTTTTAAGTTTTTTTATTTTGCCAGCAAGCATTGCTAGAAATTTGTCCCAGAATGGTACAATAACACCGAAAATAAAAGCAAGCTGTAAATATCATGAAATAATGCTATCTTTTGGCACAAATTTTGATCAAATCAAACACTGAAATTATTGATTGTTAGTGTAATATTTAACGCCACATTGATTTATACCATAAAACATGGTCATTTTCAGCAATCGCTTTAATAATCAATAACCTTACTCGCGTGTCTGATATTGCTACTTGTTAGAAAGTGCTGGTCTGAGCGTGCAGTTGGGTCTCCGGGCCAAGATTTTCACCTTACTCGATGGATGCCAACACGATGAATCTCGAAAATTATAAATATTTAAAAATAGGCACTGTCCTTACAAATAAACTGCATAGTTGCAATCTAAACAACTAAAAAAGCCTCAAAGGTACATTATGTTGTCCAATATCTGCAATATTTGTCAAACTGTAGTGAGTTAATTGATCTGCTGTCACTCTATGTGGGCGGAGTAATACAGAAGGGTGAGGAAGCTGTACGAGTGCTGTTATTGCCGAATATCGCACGGCTATCAGCCAATCAGATACGTGGTCCCGCCAGAACTGTTGTATAAACAAACATAAATGACATCTTACTCTTCAGATAGAAGCATTATTATGTTCCAGTTTAGTCGTTTCAGTGAACAGAGATTATTCTACTTCCACATTTATAATAAACGAGCTCAATAAACAAATACCTGAAGATTTATTTACACTATTTATTTGTTCATAATCTGCTCTACATGTTGAATATTTGATATTTCCGACTACTTTTGACCATTAGTATGATCTGTGGCCCAACATTTAGTTGTTATGGAGCCAGATCAGTCTCAAAAATAATACATTTAAAAAATATAATTCATACATGCACAACACAATTCAACAATACACAACCTCAATTCATTAAATCAAAACCCAGTTTATAATTTACACAATTCATACTCATTCATTCATTTTCTTTTCTGATTTGTCCCTTTACTAATCTGGGGTCACCACAGCTTAATGAACTGCCAACTTATCCAGCATGTGTTTTACACAGTGGATGCCTTTACAGCTGCAACCCAACAATAGGAAAACTACGAAGACCCTGAAAGGACGTAGTGGAGGAGAAAAAAATTGGCTGGGTGAAAAAAATGGGAAGGAGAAAAAAAAAATGGGTCAAATAGGTAAAAGAAAATCTCGCAAAGATGTTTTACATTCTCTCGCAAAACTGTTTTTCCACAAACACTTCCTGTCCACTTCATTCTTCTAAACCCTCCCGTTTTTGCCGAAATTCTCCCGTATTTTACCATTATATCCCACTTTCTTTACATTAAAGCTGTGCGTCGATTGTCGCCTTTCATGCTACCTCCGAACCAGTGAGTGCATGTAAAAGCGCTGATTTACAGACGAGCTCCATATAATAAACTGATCCCAGATCTGCTTCTGTACACACCATTTACAGAGTGCAGGACACTTCTGGATTCGGGTGTATGTTTAAACACATACAAACACACGGAATAACATGTAAACATCTCCGTCCTGCATGTATTTTAAACAGCTAAATTTCTCTTAAATGAGCACAAACAGTTTCTAAAGTAATGAAATGCTTTAATTATAGATCTGTGCATTCTGACAGACAGTGACACATCTGTTATCAAACAGAACAAAACGAGAGATTCATTTTCTGCTCTTCACTGTTAATAATAGGTGTCACTTTAAATGGAGTGTACAGAAGCTGATCTGGGATCAGTTTATTGTACGGAGCGTGTCTGTCAACGCTTATACTTCAGAGGCTACATATTAAAGGAGACGATGGATGCACAGCTTTAATGGAAAGAAAGTGGGATATAATAGTAAAATACGGGAGAATTTCAGCAGAAATGGGAGGGTTTACATGAATGAAGCGAACAGGAAGTGTTTGTGGAGAAACAGTTTTGCTAGGGAACGCAATACATCTTTATGCAAAATCCTTATAGAAATATGTTTTGCTATCACACTTTTTTTCCTATCTCACCCAGTTTTTCTTTTTTCTTCAACCAAATTTTTTTTCCCACCATCATGTCCCTTCCAGGTCTCTGTAATAAACAAATCCAATTCATTTGCCGAAAATATTTATACTTGTATAAAAATGTTTTACATGTAACTTCACAAATTGTGTGTTGTATTTATGAATCGTGTCTTAAACTTACAAACTGGACTTTGTAAATGTGAATTGTGCTGTGCGCGTATGAATTTTATTTTGTAAATGTGCTAATCTTGAGACTGATCTAGCTCCATATTTAGTAAACAATGGCTGCGCCCGAAACCGCATACTTCCATACTATATAGGATGCTAAAATCAGTATGCGAGCCGAGTAGTATGTCCGAATTCATAGAATTCGAAAATCAGTATGCGAGAAGTACCCGGATGACTTACTACTTCCGGCAAAATTCTGGAGTGCGGATCGCATGCATGCTGCACTATCCCATGATGCTCCTTGAGCGAATTCATGAATGGGAGCAAAGCGACGCAATTGACGCAGGTAGGTCACGTAACAATGACAGAATGGCGGATATAGTACGTCCGAATTCCATTCATACTTTTCACGTTCATACTGTATAGAACGTACTTTTCTAACGGCCGAGTAGTACATTTAAATTCAAATGCAGTACCTACTGAGTAGTAGGCGGTTTCGGACGCAGCCAATGTGTAAAAAACAGCACCTGATGATTGATTACAACATTAAACACACTGCAAACGTGATACATTTGTGTTAGCACCATTGTGGTTCCCTATATAGTGTGCATTTATAAGTGGCCTGCATTAAGATTGTCAGTTTGTTAATGTTTTTCTGTTTTGCATGTGTTTTCTGAAGTTGCAGAGCATTTGAGCTCTCTCGGCCACCGTACTTTTGTTATTTACAAGGAGAGAGTGACTATTAATTTGAAACAACATAGGCTCAATCTGAAATCGTACCCCTATATACATTTCTGGAGATCGGGAATTATGTAGCCAGAAGTACGCATGGCTGCCTTTCATCTTTGAAACGTTGACGTGGTTTCTTTTTCACGCTTACCGGCTGACAGATTACCCCCGTATGGACGTTTTTTCCAATGTATCAAGTTTGTCTATTTGCTCAACGCGCATGTCGGAGGATTTGCGACACAGAGAGGAGTTGACCCTGACAACGGGGTTCAAGTCCGGTGAGAACCGATTCCAGAAAGCAGGTAAAAAAACAAAAACAAAAGCCAAAAAATAAAATAAACAAGTAAATAACAGGGTGAGAATGTGGTAAATTCTGAAAACGTGGTATAAATAAGGCTGCCAGTTCTTTGTCTGGACTGCTTTTGAAAACACTGTCGATTGGGTTTAGGGAAGTGGGTGGGCGCTGGTCAATCAGAGCTTTTTAAAACACTATTGGTTGGGTTTAGGGAAGCAGGAGGGTGGGTCAGTCAATTGCTCAGTCAGTTAGTCAGTCAGTCGACAGCGGCCTCTGGTGGATTTATGTGAGAATAGCAGGTGCAAATGGCACTCGTGAGAGAAATTTGAGATCTGAAATAGCCTACACAGCGACCTCTGGTGGATTTATGCAAGAACAGCAGGAGTAAATGGCACTCGTGAGAGAAATTTGAGATCTGAAAAAGCGTACACAGCAGCCTCTGGTGGATAAAAACTGCAAAAACCATAGCTCCTGGGACATATTTGGTGCTCTCCAGATATGTATACAGTGATATGTAATTAGAATGAGTCTGGATTCATTTGAAATCTCTTTTCAAAAGACCCCTAAAATCCTGCATTGTTTACATGTTTAGTTGCAAGCGGTGTAGTGTAAATACTCTCAGTGTAACAGATTAATATGTGTCCCTGAAATGGATTATACCTTACTTGCTGATGCACTCAGGAGACTAACAGTTAACATGTTCTCCATTCACTGCTGTTTACAGTTCTCTTTCTTGTCTTTGGCTTTTTGTCGGGCGGCTTTGTCACTCTGCCGTTTCATGGGTGGTATGAAGGTGGGTTCTGGTAAATAGTCATAGAAGATGCTGTGTGGGTTACGAGGGGCCAAACACAGACCTGCTGAGGGAACAGGAAACGACACAAATACATTTATTATACTTTCCGGTTATCTGACACATATTTTTAGTTTAGCTTACGGAAAGTACATGTTTAAGTGTCTATAGTTGTACAGAGTATATTTATTTTAGGAAACCGATACTTAAATTTAGCAGAGTAAAGTATTATATTGAAGTGTAAAAATCTTTCAGAGAAATGATAGTGGTGGCCTCTTAAAGAGACAGTTCACGTAAAACTAATTTACTCATACTTGTTGTAAACCTTTATGAGTTTAATTTTTATGTTGAACACAAAAGAAGATACTTTGAAAAATGTTGGAAATGTGTAAACATGGATGATCATGGAATTTGTTTTTTCCTAATATGCAAGTCAATAGTTGCAGTTTTTTTTTAACATTCTTCAAAATATCTTCTTCACTTTAAAAACACTCAAGGTTGAGTACATCAGTATTGTTTGGGTGAACAATCACTTTAACATGTTAAATCCACTGTTAAAGACACTTCAGTGTAAAAACAATCATTAATATGTATCACTACACTTCCCCAGTTCACTGATTACATTAAAGAATCCAAACATTTTTTTGTATTTGTGTTTTAAAATACACAAATGAAGCATTATTTAATTGGATTTTACACATATTTATAGCACACAAACATTAGATCAAGTTAAAAAAAAATGTACTAACAAACATATAATTATATTACATAAACATATAAAACATAATTTTTTTAGAAGCAAAATAAAATTACTCCAATAGGCAAATTTGTCTGGAACTCTATTACAGTTAATATTAATTGTAAAAGAGCCCGGTTAACTCCCTTCAAATACACTATTAATAATAATAAAATGAAGGAAATTCATTTTAAAATACTACATACAATTTACACAGTGAAATCTTTATTATCAAAGTACATTGAAAATGAGGACATCTTTGATGCAATGCAGATAAAGAGAGGCGTTGTTATTTATTTTTTTAACGTAAAGTTGTAAACAATTTCTGGAAGATTCTAGCCAAATAAATTTAAAAATGACAAAACTTAGCCATTATTTTACATTAAAAGATATTATTTTTTATTATGAAAACAAATCCAACAAAAGTCTTGCATATATTGTTGATCTCTTTATTTCATTGGCAAAATTTTACCTACAGAAACAGAAATTTGCTAAATCATCACCCGTATTAACACATTTTTGTATCGAGTTTAACTTCTTTATTTATACTGTGAAATTGTTGAAAAGCAAAAAAATTTGTTAACACTTTTTTTTTGATTCCCCTGTCAATAGGGTATATGCCGAAGCATGCTAATAGGACTTTTAATTTGCCAGTAACCTGGGTCAATCGCTTCCAGCGAACTGTACGCCAATGCAAAAACCGGCGCGTTTAAGGTCTGTTTTCTTTAAAAATCAGCGATCTCCACTGGCTGAGTGATATCTGATATAAAGTGGGTCTCAGATTGTACAAGAAGCACTGCATTAAATTACATTTACCCCGCCATGTCTTTATAATATGAGCATTTATTTTACCCCAGGAGCTTCTGCGCTATCCTGCCGATTCTGACGGGCGCGTGCGAGTAAACGGCTTTTTGTCTCGTTTTACGCTTGAGCAACTAAATAAATGCCAAAGTTTATTTAACTGAATGTATTTCAATGACATTACAACATCGATGCTGTAAAAGGAACCATATAAAATGGAAAAAAAGTTCACAATAACAGGTCACCGGAAGTTTATCAGTATGGGAAAAACACTAGCTCGGCATATACCCTGTTCTTACAATCATTTTACCATTGTTATAATAGTTTTTTATGTTTAATCTTTTATATTGTGTTGTATGTTTGTTCCTGATGGTTATGCAATAAAATAATAATATTAAAAAACATGAGATGAAGTCATATTCAATTTTCTTTTCTTTTTTCTGACATATAATCACAGTTAAAACAATTAAAGAGTAAATTTTGGAAATCTCTTTTTATAAATACATAATTTAGAAATACTGCAAACATCTTTTCAGTATTAAAGATATAAAATAAGGCATGAACAATGTATCAATGAATCAAACATGTGTCCTTTAAATACATTCAGAACACAGACATGAATAAAGCGTTTAGTGTGCATAAGAGAAGCTGAAATGAAGATTTATGATAAACCACAGTATATATTTGAAGAGATAAATTGGTAAATGCAATAAATTAAATTAAAGGCTTAAAAGTGTTCAGAGGACGGCTTCTTAATAATAGACAGAAAAAAATCACTTTATTAAAAAGCCAAAAATATCAAAACTGACCAGCGTACAAATCAGCATACTTATATACTTTAAATCAAGTAATCTGACAGATTTTTGGTCTTTTACTGTAGTCATTATTGTTTAACGTCCACTACCTGACAAATGTCTTGCCTATCCGAGTTTTAGGAACAACAAATAATTTGACTTCTAGTTGATCATGTGGGATCAGAAGTGGCTTATATAAAAGGCAAGAACCTCTAGATTACGCTTATTTTACCAAAATAAAATATGATCATGCCTTGATTTTTAATGATTTAATTAGGACAGTAAGGTCTGACTGTGCTTAGACAAAAGTCTTGTCACTGAACAGAAATAATGTCCAGTATAGAATATAAAGTGATACTGCAGTGGAGACAGAATGAATATTGTGCATGACTCCCATGGGCTTGGAGGACTGCATCCATACATCTCTGCAATGACCCAGATCAATTATTAATAAAGTCATCTGGAACGGCAAAGAAAGAGTTCTTGCAGGACTCCCAGAGTTCATCAAGACTCTTTGGATTCATCTTCCATGCCTCCTCCATTTTACCCCAGACATGCTCAATAGTGTTCATGTCTGGTGACTGGGCTGGTCAATCCTGGGTCGCTTTGATCTTCTGTGCTTCCAGGAGCTTTGATGTGGAGGCTGAAGTATGAGAAGGAGCGCTATCCTGCTGTGAATTTGCTCTCTCCTGTGGTTTGTAATGTAACGGGCAGCGCAAATGTCTTGATACCTCAGGCTGCTGATGTTGCTGTCCACTCTGCAGATCTCTCACACACCCACATACTGAATGTAACTCCAAACATGCTTTTTCCTTTACCAAACTTGACTGATTTCTGTGAGAATCTTGGCTCCCAGTAGGTCTTCTGCAGTATTTGTGATGATTGGGATGCAGTTCAACAGATGATTCATCAGAAAAATCCACCTTCTGACACTTTTCCAAATGATCAACTAGAAGTCAAGTGATTATTTGTAGCTCTTACACATTTAATCAACGACAAGACTTTTGTCAGGTGGTGTATATATTTTTACTCTTGATTTATGTAATTTCTTCACTGTCAATGATCTAAGAGAGTGTTTGTACCTGTGGAAGGACTGCTGGTAATTTGACTCTCACGTTTCCTAGCCTTGAATGTTGGGTCCAGTTCCTCTGCTATGTTGTGAATGTGTTGGTTTTTACTGTAAAGAGATAGTCAGGGTGCAAAGATACAGTGTTGAGAGGCATTCTTGAGAAACAGACAGCAGATTGTGTGCGATAAATGATGTGTGTGACTCACAGCGCAGTGCATGACGGGCTTGCTGGAAGAGTTTGGATGGTGAAATCATCTTCTTCCGCAGGTGAATGAAGGCCGTCTGAGTTCAGCCGCTCTCGCAGCATCTGAAGAGCCTGAAAGACACATGGGAAGTTAGCATTTACACCTAAAATGAAAATGTAATAAAAAAACGTTTACCAAATGATGTTTAACAGAGCAAGAAGTATTTTACAGTATGTCTGATCATATTTTTTCTTCTAGAGAAAGTCTTTTTTTTTTGTTTTTTCGGCTGGAAATTTAATAATAAAAAAAACATTTTAAGGTCAAAATTATTAGCCCCCTTCAGAAATGTTTGTTTTTGATAGTCTACAGAATAAACCACTGTTATACAATGATTTGCCTAATTACCCTCACCTGCCTAGTTAACCTAATTAGGCCTTAAATGTCACAAACTAAATTAAATAAGGCTTTCTCCAGAAGAAAAACTATTATAGGAAACACTCTGAAATGTAAAAACTTGGGAAATGTAAAAAATAATTCTAAATATCACAGGAGGGCTGATAAAGTCTTATATCTCTAAATTGTTATGTATTGTCATGAGATGTAACTGCTGAATGAAATGTGTTATCATTATGAAAGTTGTGTCTCATTCATTACGCACTCGCGTGTGCGTGTGTGTGTGTGTGTTTTTGTGACATATCAGGACACAAATCTGTATAATGACATGGGTATGACACAGGTATTACAAAAAGGAGGTGAAATAGGAGGACATTGGTGGCGTCCTCATTTCTCAAAGTGCTTATAAATCCCACAGGTTGAGTTTAATCAAAGAGTAAAGCTGCACACAATCTCCTGTGATGATTGGGTTTAGGGGTAGGGAGGGGTGGGGGCAACACAATATACGGTTTGGACAGTTTAAATGAATGGAAACCTATGTAATGTCCCCACTTTTCACAAAAACAAACATACGTGTGTGTGTGTGAGCTTCATTCAGACCTTCCTGGTGGTTGTGTTTTCTTCATCTCTGCCTTCTTCATCAGATCTGCTCTGGATCTCCAGCTCTTGTGCTTTGTGGTTCACTCTTCTCTGGCGCCGCTGCATGTAGTTTGCGATCTCCTGATGAACATGCATGTATAGAGGTAGTTCTAGAGTTAACTGATCTTAATTCAATTACATTATCAATGTTGTAAAAGCAACCTTCTGAAATTGGGAATGATCACATCAACCTTTCACCAGAAGTTATTGGTGGCTGTAAAACACTTGTCGTGCAGATTATGTTTATCATTAAGCAGTGTAAACAATAAAATTATGATTCTTTATTGTCATTGAGGGCTGCACGGTGGCGCAGTAGGTAGCACGTTCGCCTCACAGGTGACTAAATTCTCCATAGTGAATGTGAGTGAATGAGTGTGTATGGATGTTTCCCAGTGATGGGTTGCAACTGGAAGGGCATCCACTGTGTAAAACATATTATTATAACACTGGATATATTCTGGATAAGTTGGCGATTCATTCCGCTGTGGCGACCCCAGATTAATAAAGGGACTAAGCCAAAAAGAAAATGAATAAATGAATATTGTCATTTAGACTACCGTTGTTTTGTTTGTTTAGTTGGTTTAGTCAGATGTATGAAGATTTAGTTTAAAAAACATATATATTTAAAACATATTTAAGGGGTGAGAAGTCATTTAGGATTTTATATGTTAAAACAGGGTTCTTCTAAAAAAACGACTGGGAAACACTGAATTACAGAATCCAGAAAGTGTTATCAGTGTGTTCAGTGTCATGATAGTTATCCGGAAAAGGGTTTTACCTCATCTTGAGCCACTTGTGCTGCAATGAAGTCCACTTCTGAACCAGAAGGTCTCTGATGAAACTGCTAAACACAAATACACTATAATGAACAGTGTTATTTTACTACTTACTTGAATTTTTTTTTCTAATTAAATTTTAATGTGAGTTGTTTGGGCTTTTGTCATTTTATAGAATTGATCAGTTTATTTTATAAGCTACTATTTCATTTAAATCTATATTTCTGCACCTTCAGTAATTCAGTTACTTTCAGTTATAATTACTATGTCATATTAATATTACTATGCTATACTTAGTTTTACATTACAATCTGTTTTACATTAGAATTTTACTAAACACACACAAAAAACATTTTTTTCATACAGTTTATTTCAGTCACCATCTATTGTATTTCAAGAACAAACTATTTCATTTCATAATTTTAGTTTTAGCTACACTCAACAAAAATGCTGGGTTGTATTATAAGTATTATCAATAATTGGTCAAATATAGACATTCATTCATTGTCTTGTCGGCTTAGTCCCTTTATTATTCCGGGGTCGCCACAGTGGAATGAACCGCCACCTTTCCAACAAGTTTTTACACAGCGGATGCCCTTCCAGCCGCAACCCATCTTTGGGAAACATCCACACACACATTCACAAACACACTCATACACTACAGACAATTTAGCCTACCCAATTCACCTGTACCGCATGTCTTTGGACTGTGGGGGAAACCGGAGCACCTGGAGGAAACCCTGGCGAACGCAGGGAGAACATGCAAACTCCACACAGAAACGCCAACTGAGCCGAGGCTCGAACCAGCGACCTTCTTGCTATGAGGCGACAGCACTACCTACTGCGCCACTGCTTTGCGCCAAATATAGACAATCTAGGGATTTTTATTTATTTATTAAATTTAAATAACATTTTTAACCCAACTGGGTTAACCTAACTTTGTCCATAATTGACCCAGCACTGGGTTAAGACAGCCCAGCATTTCTTAGAGTGTACTGTATATACAGTACAGTGAACATAAACCACAAAACCAGAAAGTGTACATTTTCTAAAACTGCGATTTATTTATAATATGAAAGCTGAATAAAATAAGATTTTTTTTTATTGATTATATAGTCTGGAATCTGAGAGTTTACAAAAAAATTGAGAAAATCACATTTAAACTTGTCTAAATTAAGTGCTTAGCAATGCACGTTACTAACTGAAATGAGGTTTTAATACATTTGCAAAATGTCTTCATGGAATATAATCTTTACTTCATATTCAAGGTATTTTTTTGGCAAAAAAATAAAAAAATATTTTGACCTATTTGAAAAACCCATTAACCTTTATGCTTTGCCAAAAATATACTTGTGCAAAATCAGACCAGGGTTGTGGTCCAGGGTCACATATTAGCCTAACGATTTTCCTTTATTCATTCATTCATTTTCCTTTGACTTAATCCTTTTATTTATCAGGGGTCGCCACGGCGTAATGAACCACCAATAATTACAGCATGTGTTTTACACAGCGGATGCCTTTCCAGCTGCAACCCAGCATTGGGAAACACCCATACACTCTCACATTCACACATGAACACTATGGGCAAAATTTAGCTTATTCAATTCACCTATGGCCCATGTGTTTGGACTAAGGGGGAAACCCAAGCCAACACGGGGAGAACATGCAAACTCCACACAAAATTGTCAGCTGGTCTAGCCTGGACTTGAACCAACGACCTTCTTGCTGTGAGGCGACAGTGCTAAGTTTTTTAATACATGACAAAAACTAACCTGAATCTGGTCTAAAACCCGTCTGGAATTCAGTAGCAATTGAATATAGAATATAATGTAGAATGAATATAACGCACGTCTCTTTGAGGCATCATGTCCTCCTCCTGAAGTCTGCGGGCCAGTTCAGCATCCTGGAGAACCTGCTCCCACACTCCCAAACCTGACCAACAGACCAGAGCTCAATCAAAACCAAAGGTGGCCTCTAATATATCATGCATTAATAAAAAAACAACAACATTTACCTTGACACAGAGGAGAAGGACAGTCGTTGTCCTCATAACCAGAGGCGGCTCTTTGTCTTCTCATCTCCATTTCTTCTTCTTCCTGCAGCTGTTTAGCGATTTCCTGTTCAGAAAACAATTCAGACAAATACCCAGCCATTTAAAAAAGATTATTTTTTATATTAACAGTCCAGTACAAGATTTTACCCTTAGTTCCTTTCACATTTTCTTATGACCAGTTTCTTATACCGGACAAAAAATTATTTCCTTATAAGGCCCGTAAGAAATTATAAGAGAGTAGATTTCTGTCTGTAATTGATTATGGTGATCATCTTTATATGCATGCAGCCGCTAAGCAGAAAACTGGATTCTGTTATCATGCAGCAATATGCTTCGTCACAGGCGCAGACTCACGGACGCACCATTATATTTTGTACGAATCCTTAGACTGGTTATCGTTATGTCAAAGAAGAAAATTACATCTGTACATATTTATTTTAAAGGCTCTCTTAGGTAAATTACCAACCTATCTTTCTAATTTTTTAACATTTAATATAAATAACCAACACACTAGATCTGGTTCCTGTATTCGTTTAACAGTCCAACGGGTTTAGTCAGAATTTGGTCAACTTGCTTTTTCCTTTTATGCTCCTATAGGGCTTGGAATGACCTGCAAAATCAGTTCAATCTCGACCCACTTCTGACTCTGATTTCTTTTAAACATCTTCTGTACAACATCTTAAAGGGTACTTGTAATTGTTTTTTATGATCTGATCTTTTTATGAATAGGGATATATATATATATATATATATATATATATATATATATATATATATATATATATATATATATATATATGTGAACATTATCACACTCGTAGCAGTTTGTTATGGCCAGAGGCCGAGTGTCTTAGTGTCCAACCAGTGATAATAACAGCCATATCGCACTGCTACAAGTTTAATATTGCGTTTATACAACAGATAGACGGCATAAAATTGTGTTTGAAAAAGAGTCTCAAAAACTCCCTTTTGTAGGAGGAACTACTTTCTTCCGCCATTCATTCACACCTACAGCTGACGTCAGAACAGCAAAAACCATTGCTAATTGACTAGCGACACTTTAGAGCTAGTGTTTGAATGATTCTCTAGCGTACTGTCCAAGGTGATGACAAACAGCTGATTTTGCTCACATTTTAAGATTATAAGGCTGAACAGCATGAAATGCCATCAGTCTACAGAGGTTTCCAAGCATTTCTGCGTATATGTACAGTTGAGGTCAGAATTATTAGCCCCCCTTTGATTTATTTTTTTTCTATTTTAAATATTTCCCAAATGATGTTTAACAGAGCAAGGACATTTTCACAGTAAGTCTGATAATATTTTTTCCTCTGCAGAAAGTCCTATTTGTTTTGTTTCGGCTAGAAAAAAATCTGTTTTAAATTTTTTAAACACTATTTTAAGGACAATATTATTAGCCCCTTTAAGGAATATATTTATCCGATAGTCTACAGAACAAACCATCATTATACAATAACTTGACTTATTACTCTAACCTGCCTAGTTAACCTAATTAACCTAGTTAAGCCTTCAAATGTTACTGTAAGCTGTATAGAAGTGCCTTGAAAAATATCTAGTCAAATATTATTTACTTTCATCATGGCAAAGATAAAATAAATCAGTTATTAGAGATGAGTTATTAAAACTATTATGTTTAGAAATGTGCTGAAGAAATCTGCTCTCCATTAAACAGAAATAGGGGAAAAATAAATAGGGGGGCTAATAATTCTGACTTCAACTGTATATAAATATACATAAATTACTTGCTGAGATACGATGTTATTTGTACAAAGTGCAAAATTAAAAGTACATATTAAAAGCCAACAAGCATTTTGGTTGGAATCTATAAAGTCAATATATTAAGAAACTGTTTTTAATGCTTATATCTGCTACATGCAATTTGTGTGCCGTTGTTTTGGAGCACACTGGCTGTGAATAAAATATTAAAGCTAACGCCCAAAAAACGTTTTATTTGCTTCCTACTTTTAGTTGAGGATATTTTCAAGGCTGCAATCAGTCAGTTTGAGGAATTCAGAAACATTAACTGTAGATGATACTAACTTTAGAGCAACTCTGAACTTTGTAACCACTGATGCTCTATCACAGGCCCTTAAATGAAGCCAAGAGCATTCATGGGGATTTGACTTTGACCTTTATTGTGAACCGACAGGCCAGAAGCGGCTCAGCAATGGCCAAACTGAACAGGTCGCATCAGGGTGGAGGTGATATTTAAAATAAGACGCACACACACACTCATCTCACGCAGCAGAGGTGTCAGAGTAGGCAGAAAAGTTCCACTGTGCAGTCACTCAATCAAAGACATCATCTTACAGTGCGCAAAACCAAACTGACACCCACCAGAGCAGAAGCAGAGCACTGCAGACACAGTGGAAAGAACAGCTCACACACACGCACATACACACACGCACATGCAAGCCCACACAAGCGCACATAAACACATACACACACACAAAGACAAAAAACAGACACAGACACACACACACACACAGACACACACACACACACAAAACAAACCAACACACAAACAAACACACATACATTAACAC